ACCCATTGATGAGGATGTGGAAGAAGAGAATGAGGAGGAAAGAAATGTCATTCCAGAAATTGTAGAGACTGCTGCATCTCCCATAAATCCCACAGCAACACAGCCCCAAGAGATTAAACAAATTGAGTCAGTGCTCTGAACCTTTTGAGGTTTAGATTTGTTTTATTGAAGCGCTGTGTCTTGGGCAAACCTTGGTTTTCATTGTTCTGAATTTGAAAGACAATATTCTGCCATAAAATCTTCGAAGGCCTACTTATTCAGTATAAGCAAGCACGTTGACCCTTTACATTTCTCTAAATAAAATAGCTGGAATGAAGCAAACGTGTAACTCACTTTTTTAAATGTTTATTTTATTTCAGCATAAAATATACAGTTTACTTTACAAAAATGTATTGGGTATTATCCTTTTTCAAATTCAGACTGGAAATGTATCAGATGCTGAGAATGAAATACTGAATGCCTGTAGGTCAAATTGACCTACAGGCATTCTTCTTCTTCTATGGCAGGAGCACAGCTACTAGTATGGCCTCCCTAGCCAGATTGGTCGAGGGGGAGAGGTCAGACTAAGACAGGTACCCTGGTCCTCCAGGTTGGGGGTTGGTCGCAAGGCTAATAACCTTGCACTGTAAAATGGAAGATGTTTCGAAACCTCAATCAAAGCCTCGTAAAGACGTACCTAACAGAGGACAGAATGGAAGAGGAGAATTGAGGAGTCCATGGACTGATTACGGACTGGAGAGCCATAGAAGAAGAAGAAGAATGCCTGTAGGTCATTTTGAATAAGTTTGTAAGATCTCATACATATATGATTTGATGAAGCACGTAATGCGGTTGAATTGGTGATACCATTTCTAAACCTGACATATTCCGGAGTAGCAAGGTTTACAGATGACCGAAGAGAAGATAAATGTGTTACATAACGTGCCCGTCTGAAATCAAGTGTTATGTCTAGAAACCCATGAGATGAATTAAAACTATTTGTGATAGGATATTATGTAGGTGACTGGCTTATAACAAATATAATTTGGCTTCATACATAGACTATTTAACATTTTACATGGGTGGGAGAGTAAAAATTCATTACAGGATCCTTGGTCATGAACCACATCATGTATGCAAATGAGATGGAAAAACAAAGTGACACATAAATATAGGGCTACAAATATATTAAATTACCTCAGATTTAAAGAAGAACTACACAGATTTAAGATGGAATGATTATGATTGTCAATATTTGAACTTCAAAGATATTTGTTTACTGATGAGTGAAATGAAGATAGTTAATAAGGGTAAAGAAATATCTTTTGTAGCAGCGACTTTCTGATTTGCTGCTGATTTTACAGAATATTTTGTACCTATCTCTTGCCAAAATAATGAAGGATGTAATTTTGAGGGGTAACTGGGTCGCTGCAGCGTCTGTACGCTGGAATGTGATTATTCCTGAGTTATGTGTCTTAACTTCAATTTTCTACATAGAATAGAAATTATTGTAAAAGATATCGAATACAAATATCGTTTAATCTGTATCGCGTGGTAATCGAGGATTTAAATCCTGTACTTCAGGGCCGCTGTGATATGCGGCCAGCTGGATTTCACATATGCCATGACACACGAGTGACAAAGGATAATGGAGACTGATGAATGAGTGGAGGGAGCAAGAGTAGTAGAATAATTCATAATATTTGTACCATTTTGTTATTAAAAATATTGTGAACTTAGGACTGTAGATTGTCAGGATAATGTATCTTGAAGTTCAAAAAAGGAAATGCCCCTAAAGACACTGTGATAAGCAACGTGTGCTTCATGTTTTGTCTGTAGCGGGGTGCCCTCTATTCTCGGTGCAGTGACCTGACCTAACATAGTACATCTTTCATTAAATAATTTGCTGTACCTACAAGTATATTGACAGCAAATGGCAGATTGACATAAAGGGGAAGGAAGTTAAATTAATGAACAGCTTATATAAGTCACTGGCTTTTAAGTTGCTTGAGCTCAAAAGTAATTCCAAAGTAATGTCTTGCTTTGACTGTGCCATTCGACGACAAATGGATATGCTTTTCCTTTCCGTTGCTATTAGAATGGTATATTGTACTACGAGCCAGCTAATTTGCTGCGCTGGTCTTTAGAATGTATTCATCGACACAACACCACGATAATCACCGTACAGGTGATATTGGCAAATTCATCCAAGGATGAAGATTTCTATCTTCTGGGTTGTTGCGCCGTATAGTCTGGTAGATGTTTACCAACGTTTCAGAGGTCATACTGCCTCCGTCATCAGGGCGTCATGACCACTGAAACGTGGGTAAACATCGACCAGACTACACAGCGCAACAACCCAGAAGACAGAAATCTTCATACTCACCGCTGTCAAAACCTCAAATCTTACATGATCCAAAGATGAATGATTATATTCCCATAACAGTTTGTGATTAAATTTGATATACTCTTCTGGATAAAACTATCGAATCAATTGAGGTTATGATAAGGACGTGCAACATTGCAAGGACGAGAGCGTATCTTTTCCTCATTGACTGTGATAAAAGAAAATGAAATGAAAGTTCATCACTGATATATGATGAATATCTGTTCTCATGTTTTTCAAATCTGACTTGTTTGTGTACATCATAAGGGAGGGAGATTGCAGTCTTTATTTTGTTATTGTACAGTTTTTGAAGAGGAAATGCACGTATTTGAGAATTTGAAAGAAATTAATTAAAAGCAGGTGGCAACCTGTAATGCCAGGGTTATTCTTGCGGCAATGGGAGTCTTAATGATTATGAAGTGTTTGAGTGATTGTGTAGTGAAGAACGTACTATATGTGTCTTTTTTTTATATTTTTCACGAGTATCGAATGTGTGGATTTTTTTTAAGTGGTGTAGTACGTACTCTGTAACACTTTATGGTTCTTCAGTCTATAATACAGGGCAGAACGCTGTGACTGGAGCCATTTCTGAGTAGTAGTACTTCTTTTTTTAATTCCACAAACCTAAGGTATGTTTCAAATGACGCTGTTACGTGTATTTTATATCTAATTGATTTGTAAGTATTGTTCGGTACTATTTCCAGTTTTCACAAAATGAAGTTAAATATCCTTATTTGTTTTAAGTTGCTTAGGGATTTATTGTTAGAGTAAAATATGATTTCTCATATTTAAATGTATTTTTACTTTGTGTCGGTTTATACGGATGTCATGACAAACGTGCTTGGTTTGCGACTGATGTATCTTACTTTAGAAAAAGCAATAGCGAAAGTGGCGGTGGCATTTGTATACGGACATCAGCGTAACTGAAGTTACTATGCTGTTTACTAGTAATTTCTGGTAATACGTATGTGACGTCGTAATGTGCGACTTTATAAATGATAATACTGTAACAGAATTTGCATACGGCTCAAAATGGAAATGATACAAACATTTAACAAGACTTCCCATTTAGTAATTTTATTTAATTATTTACATATTTGCCATTTGTTACCTTCCATGAAATAATGTTTTATGTTTTCCATTTTGAGTGCTGTGTGCAACATTAACAAGAATTAAATCTGTGTCTGTATCGCGGTGTCGCCGCCGGTCGAGTCGGGATTATAATCGTGCAGGATGTTTTAAAATTAAGAAAAAATTTTATTGGTATTTTATTATGTACACCAAGATGTCTGTATGAAAATAATTCATGTCATTTTCATCAGTTCAGTTTGTTGGCAATGGCGAGAAATATTTTTTTCGGCGTCTTTCTTTGGTTTTATACAAAATAACCGCACTGTGTATAATCTTATTATATTTACAGGACAATTTCTCTGACTTGCCTCATTTAACGTATATATACAGTTGAATCTTATTGAACTCTGAAGTTTGCGTGTCGTTAAATACATTTTGTGAAAAGGCCTGTCGAAGAAGAATGTTTTTTTTTGGAAAATGTTCTAATGAGATTCCGCTGTGTCTTTAAATGAAATAACAAAATAACACTTTCCTGTATTCACTTACAAAGTGTTTCGTCAGTGAATTCAAAGTGTGAATTAGATGAAATGAGGTTAGAATTTGGATCATAAGAATTTTATTTAATGGCTATATCTTCAGTTCACTTTAATATAAATTCTTGTACTTTTATGCGATTGTACTTCTTGCAATAGCGAAGTAAAGCGAATTTCTTTCTCGATGTGAAACAAGAATTAGTTTAGGGATGGGAAACAAATAGAGGTTATATAACCTGTGATACAGTGTCATCAAATAACCGGTACAAAAACAATCTGTGGGCGGTATATAGAAGCAACTCTTCGTGTAACCGCGTTTGTAGGTTTCCAATAAAAATGTTTCCTTCTGTATTTAAAATGTTCCTGCTTGGCCAACTTCGTATAATTCCATCCTCAGGTAGAAATATTAGGGGGAATAACAGATCGGTGAATGTGTCGAATTATATCAGTTTAAAATGGACGTAAGAATTCTATTTCAGCCATTTTAGATTCAGAATTCTTAATGGAATCTTTGGAAGAATAATGAATAATGAAACTTAACAGTCCAATATCCATCAGTGAATATATTTAGTAATATCAGTGCAGGAGGTAATACCATGGATCAACTGTTCATGGCTTTAACATAGGTTGACATATTTGACTTAATATTCACGCTGTCTTATGATATAGCTCTTTGTAAGATTTTAGATAAATTACGAGGGTTTATCGTGCCATGATATGAAGACGTTCGGTAAAGTTTCGCTACAGAAGTCTGATGACGCAAGCAAA